CTGTGGTATAGGGAGTGATGTGAAGGGTAACCAGCTGTGGTATAGGGAGTGATGTGAAGGACAACCCGCTGTGGTATAGGGAGTGATGTGAAGGGCAACCAGCTGTGGTATAGGGAGTGATGTGAAGGGCAACCAGCTGTGGTATAGGGAGTGATGTGAAGGGCAACCAGCCTCCTATCACTCAATTTCCCAAACAATGAAAATGTGTCACAGAGTTACAAGAATAAATATCATTTTTCAGACAGTGCTGGGCAAAACTGTGCTCCTTCATCCTTCATTCTTCATCCCCTAGTTCTTGTAAAAAGCAGCCAGCAGTTCTGGGCAAGCACTGGTTTTTTTCACAGATATAAGAAAAGAGAATACGTCAAAGTCTCAGAAAAACAGGAGTCTAGGGCAGTGTTTCCCAACCCGGTCCTTGGGGACCACAGACAGTCCACGTTTTTGCTCCCTCCCATATCCCAGTAGGAGTAAAAACATAGACTGCTGTGGGTTCCCAAGGACCGGATTGGGAAACACTGCCCTAGACTGCTGTTTTTCTGAGACTTGGACAACAAACCTCAGGGTTTTTCCACATACTCTCTTTTCTTATAACTGTGAAAAAACCAACGCTTGCCCACAACTCCTGGCTGCTTTTTACACGAACAGCAGTTCATGGTGCTGTTGACCTGTCTGATTCACCTCGGGCTCCTGTAGTAGCTCAGAGTGCTACACTCTGCAGCCTGCACACCTGGTATCACCTGATCTGAGATCAGATCAGGTTATGGGCTATCTCAGTGGCATCTGGAGGAAACACAGTTGTCCTGCATTTTTCTGCAGGGTGTTTCTGTGGTATAAATCTGTAGCAGACTCTTGGATCCTGGGCGTTCCCGCTGCCATGGTAGCATGACGATGTTTTCATGTTCAGCTTCAGTAAGACAGCGATCTTTGACTCAGGCTCGAGCAACTGTTTGAAAGACCCGCTCAGTAAAGAGCAACACAGGACGCATTAATATGAAGAAAACATTAACAGAGAAGCACAGAAATGCAATAGACAGGGACAGAGAGACTGCAAGCAAAAGAGCAACACAAACATGAACGCAGAGACGAATACTGACAGAAACACAGAGGACCACAGATGTACAGACCAACAAATGTACAGAAGATGAATTTACCAAAGGAAGGTGTTCTATGTCCATGGAACTCAGCTGAGGACTTCTATCGTGATTTACAGCAGCTCCTCATCGGGATGGAGGAACTGTGACCTTAGACCAGTGTTTCCCACCCCGGTGCTCAGGGATCCCCAGAAAGTCCATGTTTCTGCTCCCTCCTGGCTCCTGGTTCAGATCAGGTTGGGAAACGCTACCTTCAAACACGGAGGTATGAAAGGATAAAGAGGCCTACTGGCCAGGCAGCATGGCACGGAGGGCGATTTACGGGGCCAAGGTTCGTTTCTACACCCAGATGGTGCCAAGTCAGAGGCTCCCTGTATTTCATTTCCTGCCCCAGCTTGGCATTGAAACCTGCAGTCAATATCCACACTCCTGTACACCATTAGCCTTTAGCAGCTGTTGAATTATCTGCAGAGGGTTACTCATTTTTGTCCCTTTTCACCCGTTTATCTAAACGTATTGGGCGATGCGAATGCAAATTTTTACATAGGGAGTGCAGCACTGTTACCTCACACCAGCAGGGTTGTTGGTTTGAAACCCACCTGACAAATAAAGTTATTATTATGTTCCTCAGAGTCCATTTCTGTACCTTAAAAGGTACAAGTACTTACAACTAAGGGTACAATTGGCAGACCCTTGAGGGTACAGCCCCAGTGACAAGCAAAAGTACAAACTGATACTCTTTTTTCTGACAGTGTACTGTAGTTGATAATTGTCCAAATAGACTGATCCCACAGATTCAAATGCACAACAGTAGAAGGCATTCGGTTTGCAGTGGATTTTATTTATTCTTCAAAGAGATCTTATCAGCCATCAGACTCCAATGCGAAAGTCTGCTCTTTAATTCCTATACACTAATTATGCGTATACTGATATTGCTTTTTCTCAAGGAGGTAATCCCTGACGACAAAGATTACCGGGTACAAATTCTCATAACTATTTGTATCTGTGGTGTGGGCTGGTACCATTCAAAAAGAATGTCATGTATTTAAATAAATATCTGGGAAAATGGCTGTTTTTCAAACACTGTGAGGTGTGAGAGGTACAATTGATTAAAAGTGGCTGCAAGTGTTCGCTATTGGCATCAAAGATAATGTATGATGCTAGAACTCCACCGTCAGCCCGCTCTTCTGAGCCAGTGATGACTAACGTGCAACCAGGTCTGGCCCTGCACTGACACCATCAGGCTGCTATCTGGCATCTCTCTATACCACTTAGTGCCATTCGTTTTGCCACCGGCCCCTACAGGCACCCCGCTCCCCCACCTCACAAGGTGAGCGGCTCCCCGTGAAAGAAATGCCCTTTGGTCCAGTCAGCTGCTTTCAAGCCTTTGTTTAAGCCATGATTTTGTCTCGCTTGCTTCCCGCCATTTTCACCCTAGATAAAGGTTTGAACATACACTACATGGACAGAAGTATTGGGACACTTGGCCATTATACCCACAGGAACTTTTATGACGTCCCATTCTAAATCCATAGGCATCAATAAGGAGTCGGTCTCCCCTTTGCAGCTATAACAGCTGCCACTCTTCTGGGGAGGCTTTCCACAGGTTTATGGAGTGTGTCTGGGGGAATTTTTGCCCATTTTTCTAGAAGAGCATTTGAGAGGTCAGGCACTGATGTTGAATGTGAAGGCCATGTGAATCTCCATTCTAGTTCATACCAAAGGTGTTTGGTGGAGTTGAGGTCAGGTGGTTCTGTGTAGACCAGTCAAGTTCTTCCACACCAAGCTCACCCAACCATGTCTTTATGGACCTTGCATTGTGCACTAGGGCACAGTCATGCAGGAATAGAAAATGGCCTTCCCCAAACTGTCCCCCATAAATTTAGAAGCATTGAATTGTCCAAAACATCTTGGTCTGCAAACCAGAAGAGTGGCAGTTGTTATAGCTGCAAAGAGGTGAGCAACTCCATAGTTCCTGTAGGTGTAATGGCCAGGTGTCCCAATACCTTTGTCCATATAGTGTAATGTTCACCTTCCACTAAGTGTGACCATTAATATTTTCCTGTAATATTGATAAATCAGTTTGTTGGTTGATATGATGATGCCTCAAAACTACAGATGAATGAAACAACGATTGAATTTGATTATTCCAGGAGTTAAATGTGAATTACTGCATACTAAATATCTATATCAGTTGTTTTCAGATGCATTTACACACCCAATACAACAGTGACGATGAAAACCGAAAGAAAGAAGTGTGGGGCCAGGTTCTGGCTCTTCTCCTGGATATGGTCTCCTCAGAGCTCCATCCAGAGTGTAATTATACAGTGTACAGCCATTTTATGCACCAGAATTGAAAATGACATCCTGATAGATCACAGTCCTCTATACATATAAAAGAGTTCTGTTGATTTAGCTGCTGTACAGTCAATAAGATTTATTAATGCCTTTAATTCATTTGCCTGACACTGGCCATATAGATGCACAGATATTGGCCCTAACTGCGAAATCACATTCGCAATAAAATGCAAACAGAACAGCAGCGTGGCCAGACCTGAGCTGACCCGCATGTGGTACCTGGCCCCCGGCCAACGGCATCTGTTTCGCAGACACTTTCAGGGAGTGTAGGCCGTACCCACTCATACTGCATGGTCCTAGCTGAAGAAATCTTCTCAACAGTACAGTTTCCGTTCTGATCTGAGTACATCTTTCTCTTTAATGTGTCTTTTTTTTTTTGTCACTCCTTAGTAAGTGCTCACTTATTCAACAGCTGTGACTCTGCACATGGTGACTCTCACTGAGTCGTCTGCTCTATAAAACTTAACGCGCGAATTTGCTGACTCTCTCCTACGGTGTCCATCAGGACTGTCCTCAGTTGGAGTCCGTTCTGGGTGTGGGATCAACATTTACACTGCTTTCAGCCAAAATGTGTGGTAAAAATATGCTTAATCACCATTCAAAGGAAAAAATCCATTAATATGATAAAGAATACAATAATAAACACTATGAAATTACTCTTGTGTTGTTCTTTCTTACAGTGGCCTCCAGAGAATTTCAGTATTGAATGACGATTTCTACTAAATGATTCTACACTGATACTCATACAGATGAGTGTGTTTGCTCAGTGCCATAAAAATGAAGAAAACTTCCTGTGTGCCAGAACAAATATGAACACGATTTATGGCTATAAGAACATGCAGAGAAGATTACGTGAAAGGAAACATTTCAGTATGAAAATACAGAGCAGCTGGAGCTTGTGTGCTGCAGTGTGCATCCAGTGGTTCGATCACATGTCTATTATACTCCATGGACACCTGGCCATTACACCCACAGGAACTTTGATGACGTCCCATTATAAATCCATAGGCATCAGTACAGGGTTGGTCCCCCTTTGCAGCTATAGCAGCTGCCACTCTTCTGGGGAGGCTTTCCACAAGATTGTGGAGTGTGTCTGTGGGAATTTTTGCCCATTCATCCAGAAGAGCATTTGTGAGGTCAGACACTGATGTTGGATGTGAAGGCCTGGCTCACAATCTCCATTCTAGTTCATCCCAAAGGTGTTTGATGGGGCTGAGGTCTGGGTTCTGTGTGGGCCAGTCAAGTTCTTCCCTACCAAACTCACCCAACCATGTCTTTATAGACCTTGCTTTGCGCATAGGGTCACAATCAAGCTGGAACAGAAAAGGGCCTTCCCCAAAACTTTTCTTCAAAGTTGGAAGCGTAGAATTGTCCAAAATATCTTGGTATGCATATCAAGACGTTTTGGGTAATTCTATGCTTCCGATGTCATAAAAGTTCTTGTGGGTGTAATGGCCATTTGTTGATATCTAACATCAGCCTGTGTTGTTTATTTCACCCAGATGAAACAAGAAGATGGTAGCTGTGATGCCCCAGGTTCAGACCCAGGCCATGGAGGAGATCACACCTGACCCTGTATATGTGGACGTGGACCAGGGCTTGACACTGGCATGTATCGTCTTCCTGTGCCTCCTGCTGGTGGCCATGATAATCCGCTGTGCGAGGGTCATAATGGACCCCTACAGCGCCATCCCTACCTCCACCTGGGAAGAGCAGCACCTGGATGACTAGCTGAACCAAGCCAAGCTCTACTGACAGGACCAGCGATGTCACTTCCTCTGTCTCCTGCTGGTGGCCATGATAATCCGCTGTGCGAGGGTCATAATGGACCCCTACAGTGCCATCCCTACCTCCACCTGGGAAGAGCAGCACCTGGATGACTAGCTGAACCAAGCCAAGCTCTACTGACAGGACCAGCGATGTCACTTCCTCTGCCTGTGAGGTTTACGCTCCACTCGAAGGGCAAAGCCGGCCTGCCACCATCTTGGCACCTCTGTGTGAGTGGAGGGTGAGAATTGCCTTACGCCCACTCAGACTGAACAAGCCAAAACCTGGGCTCACTCTGATTGGCTAAACTGATTACACTGAACCCACTCCAACTGGGGAATCCAATTTATCTTCTTGCATGTGGACCAATATTATGGAACTCTCTCACCCAGGTCTAGCAGATGTAATGGTGAAAAACACATTTAGTTATAGGACTGTGTTGGTCTGCTTATACATAAATCAATAATAATTTCCCATTCTAGCTCCACTCCTAAGGGATCAAATAACCATAATTCATTAAGTCTGCAGAAATCTTTTCAACGTGAAAACAAGGAGGATATGAGGAGTCTAATGAAGAGTCAAAATTCTTGTGCAGGACCCCCTGCCCCACACACACACACATACACTACCCCCACCCCCATTAACCTCTTCAGCATTCATATCCTCTTGTCTTCCGGAGAAGGACCTTCTGTTCTATTAAGCAAGATTACAAAGGCAAGACTGCAGGCAGTAGGGGGACAGAGTAATACACAGAACTGCTGTAATTAATGCACAATGTCTGACCCTATTTTTCATGGATCTACAATGTAAATCATCAAACTTGCAGGTTAACAAACAAATACCCTTAGACATTTATAGCCATCCATCGCTCCATCTATCCATCCATCCATCCATCCATCTTCAAACTGCTGAGTCGCAGGTGGGCTTGCAGGCCATCCCAGGCAGCACCGACTGCTGCACACCCTGGATCGGATGCCAATCCATCATATCAGCATAATCATACACTAATCAATCAAACCTTAACGTAACATGTGCGACAAGCAGAGAAGATGCAAATTTCACACACAGAGCATAGGTAGGACTTGAACCCTTAACCCTGAAGGTACGAAGCAACAGTGCAATATACATGCTCTTGATTGGCTGTCTAAGCACGTCACTCTGTAACACTGTTCCCAGGATGCAACAGTCACTGCTTGCCCCGGTGATTCCATGATGGAAGGTGCATGCTGGTGGAAGTGTAAGAGCCTCCTGTGAAGAGCTTAAGCTAAAGAGCCTTGATAAACCCCACAAAGCCTGGACAATGTATGCAGAAAACACTTCGTTAAAATAAAGCACGTCTCTACGTATGCAAGCAAAAAAATCAGGTCATCTGAATAAGGCCTATTCAAACAGGCATCAGCCTATGCATACCAATTTTTTTGGAAGATATAGACATTTTAATGTTATTTACAGCTCTGGTTGTCATTTATACACTCATAGACTTTTTGTCAGAGGTGCTCCACCTTTGCAGTCTTTTAAGAGTATTTTTTTTTAAGTTTTTGTTTTGTTCTCTCAGTTTTTGATTCCCTGTGGATGAATTGCTGTGAATTACTATGACATGCTTGTAAAATACTGAATAACATTTGACCGACTGTCTGGTTTTTTTTGCTTGTGGTTAGTGCCACGGCCCCAGACGATTCCGGATAAGTCTCTCCTCCCATTCGCCAGCTGCTTCAGCAAATTAAAATCATCCGCAGCTTCAGGCGACGTCTATTTTTCACATTCTTTATAATTATAAGGGAGTGGCTGGTGTCTTTCAGTAATGATTATCAAATTTACTGAACCATGAAATAGTAAAAAAAAAAAAAAAAACAGGCAGAGCCTTTGTTCAAACCTGAACGTGCTTCTAACTGCAGCACTCAGGTCCACTTGTGCAGAACACGGCCTCTTGTCATGTTTATGTCGCGTTAAATATCCCCGCCTGTTATCTGAAATATGAGCAGAAAAGACTGTTTAAGGCTGAAAAGTGATAAACTAATCAAACAGCTCATGGTGCTGTGAAGTGCGATGGTGTAACAATTCCACCCCAGGTCAGATACGCATCAGTTAATTACAGGAAAATTAATCCATCTTTTAAAATGTGGGAGTAAAACTCACACGTCCCCATCTTTGGAGAGATTCAGTGCATCGGGAACTAGACTAACTACTTTGGAAGGATATTAAGGGGTAACTTGTTTATGAGAATAAAATTTGTTTTCCTCGTAGAAACAAATTTCCCACCTGTGGGAATTATTAGTTTCCATTGTAGATGTAAACTCTGAAAGGTGTTTGTGGAGAAATATGTTTCCTTCCACTCAGCATCTAATCCAGCCACTGGCGCCCAGACGTGGTAGATTCCTCTTTGAAATGATCACACTTGTCATTTTGCTGACTGGGCTCCATGCAGCTTGCTTTCCTCTTGAATTTGTTTGTGCAGCTCGGTGTTTACGCGAAGGCATCTGTGGCAGCTGTCTGGCTGCTGGGCCCTGGTCCCGAATGCGTGGGGAAGTGCAGGGGCGCGCTGACTCAGCTCTGCCCGCTATGCTAACGAGAACCAGCCATTTGTCACAGGATGGCATTTATAAATGATGGTTATTACCGACCCTCCTCATGCTCACTTTCTTCTCCGTTTCTGATGCATCACTATTGCTAGGAAATAGTACGGAGTTATCAGTTCACAGCCACCGCGAAATGCGAACCGTCCCACGCAGTTCAGATGACACTCTGCACTTCAGACCGCATTCGGGTTTCATACTTTCATAAACCGCATCTTCTGGGGACAGTATGGGAAAGCGTTTGACATTACAGGTTAATGTTCATGGGAAACACATGGGATACTTTTTCAAACAATGGATCTATATTATTCACATGGAGAAGCCATTTTAACGAAACCAATTTCTAACTACTGGTCATGGTGAGGGTGGCGAGGGGAGGCCTTGCAGGCCGGGATGCACCCTGGACGTGATGCCAGGCCATCACAGGGATGTTGGTCTTCCTATCTAAATGGGGACCGTCCATTCATTTCTATGGGAAAAACCCTAATCCCACCGATGACACCCTTAACCCCCACCCATCCCTAACCTTAAGCATAAGTAACCAAACAAAATACAAGACTTCTGCCATTTTTACTTTTTTGATTGCATTCACAGATTTTTATAAAACTGAGGTTATCCAAATGGGGACCTCAAAAGTATGGAAATCTCAGGTTTGACTACACTTTGGGGACAATTTGGTCCTCAGATGTGATCTATACAAACCCACACACACACACACACACACACACACACACACACACACAAGCCAGGTAAGTATGAAGCAACAAAGCTACCCTCTGATTCTCTGTGCCACATCAAAAAAGCATTCACATATTATTTTAACATTTACAAATAATACAACTGTTCAGTTCTTACTTGTTAATGGTACTTATAACAGCATCAGTAAATATAGCACCTTTCTCTGGTATTACACTAATGAGAGTAAATTTGTCAGTGCTATCCATCAATGCAGCAACAGCAGCCTCACACGGCAAACCCTTGTGCTCTATGACAATACAAAACCCCAAGGCCTCGATTTACAGGTGGGATTTTAACCCATTTACACACTGTCCCTTTGAAATGTAACACTGCTTCGCCATCTAGCTCCTTCAACAAGCCCACCATGTCTCTTTATACCCTCATTTATTCGCATTTCCTCAGTAACCGTAAGGAATCGGACATTGTCTGAGTTTGCATTACTACCCTTTTTGATTAAGGGAGTCCAGCTTAAAGGCAGAATTTTGGTTTCTGATCCCGACTGAAATACAGCTTCCAGAGATACCCACATCCTTCAGCCGTCAGACGTCTAGAAGGCCCAGTTCACACTGGATTAGATATGAACACCTTAAAATGATGAGGGTTCCGTGGTGGCCGTATCTCCACCAAAGCAGCTTAATAGCTTCTCCTAACTCACTCGGACCAACCTGGACCAGTTCCCTCTGCACTAGCGCCCATGACTTATTTATGCAGAAGGTTATTTATTCGTAGAATAGTTACGGCTCCCTGAGCACTGAGTTTTTATGGCGGCACGGAGGAGGGTACAAGGCCATCTGATTAATCATGCACCATTCTGATTCAGCAGAACTCTCCGGGTTCCGCCTGTCACTGGAGGAGCTCCGACACTCGCCGTACCTCTCCCTCACCTGACGGTCAGCCCCGAGATACAGTCTCACCAAACACACCTTTCTGAAATACCAACAGGAACAGCAGCATTTACAATCAACCAAACGATTTCCCAAATTACATGCTTTTAATTGACCCAACCTTTTTCATGGCAACACAGACTGCCGGTTCAGTCCAGTTCCTAATGAAGACAAATTCTGCTTTGCAGTTGGATACGCTAGTTACTGCCAACAGCTGTGGGATAAGAGAGAGATCTGAGCACATCCCAAAAGGGAGGAGCATCTTCTGGAGAACATGCAGCACCTGCAGCCTGCTGGCTTATTCACACAGCTGTTAGGCTGCGGTAATAAACATTGGTAGCATAAGTTCATTTTAAAATTAATTAATCTGTTAACCACAGAAAACAAAACCAGGCAGCCAAAATCCCTCACGAAAACTGATGTCACTGCATCGCTGATGAAAAACATGCTAATATAAAATTAAAACTGCCCTTCAAGTATAAGATTTAAAATAAAACTGCATCCGTATTACAGAATACTGTTAAAATTGCAGTGAGCCTCTAAGCTGGTCTGCACATACATCAGTTTGTACTCTTGTACCACATCTCTATCTGCACAGAGCAGCTGCGAAAAAAGCTCTTGTGGTTCAACAAGTAGCACAATACACAAAGCCTTCGTGTTCAAAACCCAGGGAGCACACGTAAAACGTAACCCTTCCCTCTATGCTACGTTGCTTTGGATAAAAGCGTCAGAAGACCAAGTTAATGTGAATTGATACCGATAAGGACGTTTGGGACACTATCTTTATGATTCTTGAGCACCCCCTACGGACTAGGTCAGGAACAATGATGAGACATTATGGCTGCAGTTCAGGCACGATCCTTGCTTGGCAAGGGCCTCGACGCACTTTGTATTCTGCGAGACCTGGAGGTGTTACTCAGAG